CCGGCCATCCCTATATAAGATCCGAACCCGCAGCCGCACTCTCCTGAGTGAGCCACGGGGCTGGACCAAGAAATGGAATATTTTTTAAGTTATTTTCTAAACAGTAGGATACTATTACTATGCAAAGAGAAGACTTGACTCTCCCCTTGCCTTCTTATAAAAAAAGAAGGGAGTGAGGAGTTAACATCTTCCAGGCAGAAGTGAATGGACTGCCCAGGCCCCACTGCAATATATTTTTTTTTCATCTGCCTTTGAACACTGCTATCTGGATCCCTCTACCAACCCACACTCAGTTTTGCTCATTGATTCTTTCCCTTTTCCTTCCTGCCCTCCTACAGACTGCCATGGAAATAGTTCCAGATGACAACAGTTCCTCCAGAACAGCACATAGTGGTCTTTCCTGAGAGAATAGCAGATCAAGTATCTATGGAAAGGGATGACTACACTTGCGCAGGTGACTTTACATATTATCATCAATAAACATTTATCATGCTTATGGGCTCTGTGACTACAAAGAGCGCTAAGATCTTGTTTTGGACTTCAAGTAGCTTTCAATCTAGACAGAGATAAGTAGGGGGAAAAAAAACACATAACAAGGTGCACCGTTCTATAAATACTAACCGTACACAGTACAGACAAAAGTGCTAAAGATAGAGCCTTATGTTCCGGAGTTTCTGGAACAGCTCTAATTTCAAATATCCTGTCCCACCAATTCCTTCTGTATACCTGTATGCTCAGACCATAGGTCCCAGTGTTTGGCAGAAAAAAATATGATCATTACAGCTACTTATGAGGCCAGCCAGCCTACTAGATTTACTATAATCATGATAGTATTATGTGGCCAGATTTTTTAAACCAAGCTAGCTAGCACCTTCCCACAGCACTACCATGGGGCTCTCAGGTAACTGTGGGATTGAATACAAGATGCAGTAAAACCAGTCTTCTAAAACTAAGACAGATCATCAAGAAAAAGGCAGGAAGCTGAGAGTATTTAGAAAAAGTCAGGCAGGGTGGATACAAGACACCAGTCTCTGTCAGCCATTCTTCCCCAAAGTTCTTTTAAAATTACTGAGAACTATGACAATAATTAGACCTATGATAATCCTGGGAAGGAAATATATCTATTTGTGTGACAAAAATTAATTTTCCCCCTAAGCAGAAAGAAGAAAATATCCACTTAGTTGGCCCCTGGCATACAAACTGACAACAATTATCACCATGCAACAATCACCTCTTCCTTTCCTCTTCTGCTGTCCCTTCCCTCATGTATTCTATTCACTTACCTCTCTATCCTCCTCACCAGCCCACTCCCTTCTCTGTCTAGACTGTGTGATTTGGACAAAGGGACACCAAGGGAAACTCTCAAGAGGTTAGATTCTCAGTCCCAATCCCAAACTTACCATAACAGAAAAGCATGGAAATCCCTGTTTTTTGGGCCGGCCCGTGGCTCACTCGGGAGAGTGCGGTGCTGATAACACCAAGGCCCCGGGTTCGGATCCCATATAGGGATGGCTGGTTAGCTCACTGGCTGAGCGTGGTGCTGACAACACCAAGTCAAGGGTTAATATCCCCTTACCGGTCATCTTTAAAAAAAAAAAAAAAAAAGAAATCCCTGGTTTAGATCAATAAGCAGCATTCAAAGGCACCAGACTTTAAAGCTCATCAAGTATTAATCTCATTTTTTTAGACACAGAAACTAAAACTTAAAGGATTTAAATGTTTTTCTCATGGTCAAAGATACACTAACATGATTTCCTTTTTCTTTTTGAAACAAACCATTTACTTTTCACTCTTTTTTTTAAAAAAAAGATGACTGGTAAGGGGATCTTAACCCTTGACTTGGTGTTGTCAGCACCACGCTCTCCAAGTGAACTAACCGGCCATCCCTATATAGGGGTCTGAACCTGTGGCCTTGGTGTTATCAGCAGCACACTCTCCCAAGTGAGCCAAGGCTGGCCCTCTAAGTCTTTTAAAATTATATCAAAACAACTTTAAAACCTGTTCACTGAAAAGAGACCCTTGACTTTAATTGCTGTTTTGAAATGCCTAGTTAACAGATCACAATATTGCCCTGGGAAGTTTGAATATAGATGTGGTTGATATGATGACCCAGAAAGAGTTCCGGGCTCCATTTCAACCGCAATTTAGATGTAAATAGCTATATGACCTTACATTATTTATAGAGAACCCCAATAACTAATGTTATTCTTAAATGGAAACACACTGATCATTCAGAAAGAATTTCTTACAATATATATACATAATTGTAACTACATAATCTGCAAACATATGTAATGTTGCTAGACCAGTACTGTATTTCTATACTGTGTGTCAAATTTATTGGAAATTTAAAAAGAAAATTTGAGGAGCTCACAGACTTCATTAGTTGGTTTTAAAATGTGTAGCACAACTGAAAACATCATCTATGGTAAATAAATGGAGTCAATATGGAAAAGTAAAGTACACAGTGATAATATCAGAGAGCAACTGAGTGGTCACCTGAGTATAATTTCCTCTGGTACAAAAGACCTCTAAACTGGCCAGTCATCAAAAAAATAAAATAAAAAGATTCATCTCTCTCTCTCTCTCACACTCACACACACACACACACACTCATTGCTGGCAAGAATTAACTGGTAATGGTACTGCTTTTCAGCAGTACAAAAATATCCTGAGAAATTATTCAGATTACAACAAGACACAGAGCTTTCATCCTATGTTTTTGCAAACAGAAACCTACTAGATATAATAAATTAAGTTGCAGATAATCTTCACTGTGTTGTACACAAAAGGAGAGGCGACACAGAACCGCTTAATTCTCATTGGCTACTATCAGAAAAGATTGCATTAAATGTCTATTTATTTTGTTTTGTTTTGTTTTGGGTTTTTTTGCAGTTGGATCCAAACCCTTGACCTTAGTGTTTAAATGTCTATTTATAACATTTTAGCTAACTATGTCCAATAATATACAGGAAGAAATTTATAGTTAAAGTTTTTCATCTCTTTTCTCTCCAAGGAGTTACAAGCTGAATTCTAAATTTTACACTGAAATACACAATTCCAATTTTCAAATAGATCTTTCTCCTGAAGGAGTGATATTCCAGTTTTTGGCACAATCCTGATGCAGAGCCTAACTGTCCTGTGAAGAGAGTCAGCTGTTAAATGGAAACCAAAAAAAATCAAGGTAGCCCCAGCTGTCCAGTTTTGCAAGTTTTCAACATACTTGATGAGGAGTGAGCTAAAGGCAATGAACGCTTTACTTTCTGTAACTCATCTCATTGGCATTGGCATTTCCAAAGTAGCTCATATTCTTGACTCTGGTAACTCAACAGCATCTCAAGTTACTGGCCCAACCAAAGGAAGAAAGGAAATCAAGTCAGACAATGAAGGAATCACAGGATTTCCCTCTTCAAATCTCCAGTTTGATGAGGTCATTCAATGAGTGTGCGAGTTTACAAGACCTGGCAAATTCCCACACCCTCACCAGTACTTTGACCTAGATACTGTATTTGAACTTTTCCAATTTTATCAGGTAAACTTATAAATGCCCCTCTGATCTGTGAACTCTTGGTAAGCAAAGATTATGTCTTGTGATACTTCTTGAAAAAACTAATTAATAAACGACAGGTTTACTTATATATTCCTTATCACCCTTCCCAAAGAAACACTAAAATTTTTAATTAGGGAGTTAAAATTTTAATGAAAACACAATGGTTAAGACCATACCAGAAATTCAAAACCACAAAACCAGTAAGCTTGTTTCCTTTTATTTGAGAGGACAGTTTAAGGGGAGTGGGAAAGCCAGTTCAAAGGACATAATCCGGGCTGGCCAGTTAGCTCAACTAATTAGAGCACAGCCCTATAACACCAAGATCAAGGGTTTGGATCCCTTTCCCTGCCAGCAGCCAAAAAAAAAAAAAAAAAAAACTCCAAGGGACATAATCCATACTCGATCTGTACAGTTCCATTTAGGAAAGGGCATGGTACCTGAAGGTAGACCACCAGGTTCAAGATCATCTGTGCCATCTTCTTGGCTGTAAATATAGGTCAAGACACTTTTCATCATTGACTCCATTTTACTAGGGAGAAAACTATCAACTCAAAAGGTTCTTGAAGGGCTGCTGAGGGCGTCCTCAACGGGAGAGCATTCATTATACAGTGTTTAATTTTTTCAGTCACGCTAAGCCTTGTCTCGTTTATGGCGGCACCAACATAGCACAGTAAGGAGGAACAGCCACAGGCCACAACAACCGGTTCATCAGAACCAATTTAAATGGCATGACACAAACAGGCCTTGTGCAAAGACTGTGCACGACGGCCCTGGTAGCTTTTACAGGGCAATTAATACACCTAGAGCACTGTGCTCAGGAGGTGACAGGTAAACTCCCTGTCCAGACTAACCTGCTTCCCCCACAGTGGATCCTTCCCAATCAGGCACTGTGCACCAAGGCGCACCAGAGGTCACTCATGAAATCACGACGGAGACTCAAGAAACACTCCAGACTGAGGTGAGTCACAGAAGGTAGGGCAGAGCCTGGCCAGTGCTCACAGCTCCAATCTCCAACGCCGGGGACAGATCCGGGTCCCCTCCGACCCAGGTGGACGGACCTGCCGGGCCCGGGGGCAGAGACTGCAAGCCCAGCCCGCAATGCCAATCCCTTCAGCTGCCCCTCGGGGTCGCCTCGCCAACGCCACTCGTGACACTGGGAAGGGTGGGCCCAACGGGGACACCTGAGGCGCCGCTCAGGCCCCCAGGCCCGCGAAACGTCTTCTAGAAAGCGGCGGCCGGGTTCCACCCTCTCGCGACCCCCCCCCCCCCCCC